TAAAACTAATGGCATTGTTTTATCTATCTATGTCACTTTTTTTTTCATAAAAAAAATCTGAAAAGATTAAAAATTATAGTATCAAATATTTTATCATCAGTATTAAAATACGATAAAGTAACAATTTAACCTTTTGAAAAGTTAGAGTAAGAAACTAACCTTATTTTAAAAAAAAAAAAAAAAAAAAAACAATCACTTGCTTGTATGCCTTTTAAAGAAAAATGAAAAGTCGAAAAGAATATAAAAGACATACAACATGGATTGTTAAACAAGTGGTATATTTTATCTATGTTACCTATTTTTCATAAAAAAAAACATCTGAAAAGGTTAAACATTATAATATCAAAGATTTTTCACCAAAGTTAAATATGATAAAATAACAATACGAATCTTCCAAAGTTACATATAGTATGACCATTTGTATCGTGTTTTAAATATATTTGTTTCATTTTGATAAACTAAAACACAACATAATACAGCATGTATGATCTTATAAATTTAAAACACAATCATAAACAAAAACATAACGTTGTTTTTACTGAAGCGTATTTACTTTCAAATTAACCATTTTTGTGTGACCATGTACAGCTTATTTATTAAAAAGCATAGTGTGAAGCTTGATATAGGCATACAACATATCTTTCAAAGCTTTTTTCATTTTGTTTACCAACTATTTACTAACTTTCAAAGATATTCGAGATTCAGATATTTTTACATTATTTTTGTTCTTTTTTAAACAACAATAGATTTTCATGCATACATAAAATTTCATTATTATAAACTATTTTGTATTCAAAACTGAAGCTGTGTATCTTAACTGTATTGACAGTTATAAAAATGCACATCACATGCCACTTAACTGTTATAATCGTATACATACAGTATTCCCACAGGTTCTTGAATTTTCTGTTTGTTTAGATTTTTTCTGTTGTATATTTTGGGTTGAGTTTGTTCATATACATATGTTTATCGAATATTATTCCATGAAATGTTGAGCCACTTTTGATAATCTTGATAAGGAACATAAATCACATTTCCATATCTATTTTTATAGAATATTTTTCCATCTTTTGTCCAAACTGATTGGACCTCCATTGGGTTACTTTTTTTTATTACCATTAACACATGCATATTTATACGTGTAAGGTCTTCACTCACAAATATTTTGCTCCCTTTCAAATGTTTCTTATTCCTAATAACTAAATCTCTTTTCATCCTTGAAACAAATTTCACAATAATTTGCCTAGATCCTATTATTTCTACAGTTTCATTTTTTTTCAATATTTCAGCCATCGTTTCATTTCCTTTGTTTTTTTGTGTTGTTTCATCTTTCTTCAAACTATTTTTTTCTCTACCCTTGTTTTGACTAGCATTATTTTCATTTTCAACTGAACTTGTTTCTCTGTTTTTACCTTCACCATTTTTCATTTCATTTCTAAGCTCCATCAAATTCATTTGCTCTGTACTTTGATTGGGTTTTCCTATGCGATGAGCAATATCTATGTCATTTATCATAAGATTTAGGTTGGGAATCTTTTCATTTAATATGTTTATAACTTTTTGTGCTGTTTGTTCAGCCGTTTCTCCACGCATTTCCGGTAAACCATGAATTCTTACGTTATTTCTTCGGCTATATTGAGCCTGATCATTGTGTAGTTCACCATGTGATCTTACTACCCTTTCAATCGTATTGATTCTGTCTGTGTGATCATTATCCTTTGCTTCAACGGTTTTTTAAGGTCAACTATTTGTGATTTCAACTGGGTATTTTCCTTCACATAGTCAAACATTTGGGTTTCCATAATTTCTAGCTTTTTCTCAATCGATGAAAAAATTTCAGATCGCATCTCTAGTATAACATCTTTTATAAGATTTTTAAAGAAAGTATCATCTTTCGTAATTACATTTTCTAGCTTTTTGTAAATCTGTTTCAGCTGATCTGCAACATCATAATTATTGTTTTCAGCCATAGTTTCAATTGTTACGTCTAATTTTGTATTTTTTGAATCTTCGAATGTAGTAATTGTCTTTTGTTTTTTTTATATTAAAACTTGTCTCTAAATCACTTATGCTACTATTACTCGACCTATTCCTATCTCTTTTATTTCGATTTTTTTTACCCATTTCAGAAATGTATTTTCCATACTTTTTTTAATAATAAAAAAAAAAACAAATCCCTGTGGTATTTAACAAATACTGGTCAATACACTGGTCAATACACAAATTCAATACACAAATTCCTTTCTATACATCTATTGTTCCATTGTTTGCTTAGTAAAGCTATACAGTACTATCACATTAGATACATATTAGCAGTTAGTTCAGTATTGCTGTTTGTCTACCTTAGTGTGTAAAACTATGGATCCATGCTTGACAAATAGTTTATATAGTCATTTTTCTCATTTCTTAATTAATAGTAGCTATTAAAATTAATTACCATTGATTCTACATACAATAGTCCAATAATAGTCCAATATTTTCCTCCAACAAAATAAAAAAACACAGTTATTCCAATTTTTTTTCTATTTTTTAACCCACTCACAAAAAACATGCACATACATCAAGGGACATCACTCACAAAAAATAAAAAGCTGTCAATCCTGTCATCTAAATCAGGGTCTTTCAAATAGAATGGTCTGGAAACGCGGTATGTAAACCTTTCTCACTAGGCCTACAGATAAACATGTCTCAGTATAACTGGGTATAGTTGGCTATATGCAAATTATGTAAGTGATCAAAAAAAGGGTGAAAATTAAATACAAGAGCAAAAATGAAAATTCTAACAACATAATGTTCTTTTAAAATCTTTAAACTTACGAAAAAAAGATAAATATTTCAGAAAATAATGTTTTTAAAGCCATTTCTGTTGAAAAACGTAGATTGCTTCTTCCGAGTATTTGCCAATAAACGGTCCAATTTTGAAAATGCACCAAATTAAACATCAAATATTTGTAAAATTCATCACAGAATATCGTAAACATTTTACATGATACGATTAAATAACATTCTTTCTCTTTGAATTCAGTTTCTATTTTGTCATTGAACAATTATTATTATTATTATTATTTTCTCTGTCAGGTAATCTATCATGTATTTCTAGAATAGATAACTGTCATCTAAATACATTGTATTTATGCTTTGCTTAAGCGTTTGAAGAAGCACAGGTATATTGTTGGATCATCATTCTGTAGTCTGATCAATTACTTTAGCTTACAGTCTTCCAATTTTGTGTGGAGGTTGCTAATGACTTGTGTAGGCCAGTAGGATAAACATAACATTTGTTATAGTGACCTTGAGCCAATCAATTACTAAAGATGTATTATGACTAATTGTTGGCTGTTGAAGGGGCTTACATTTTTAGCTCACCTTGCACAAAGTGCAGGTGAGCTTTTAGGATGGCCAACCAAATGGCGTCCGTCGTCTGTCGTCCGTCCACATTTTAAATATTCTAAGGACATCTTCTATGATACCGCAAGGCCAATGTTAATGAAACTTGGCAGGAATACTCTTTGTATGAAGCTCTATCAAGATTGTTCAAAGAATTCCATTTCATGCAGAACTCTGGTTGCCATGGCAACCGAAAGAAAAATCTTTAAATATCTTCTTTTAAAGAACCGTAAGAGCTAGAGCTTAGATATTTGGCATGAAACATCTTCTAATGAGTGTCTACCAAGTTTGTTCAAATAAAAGCCCTAGGGTCAAAATTGGCCCCGCCCCAGGGGGTCATTGATTTTCCCTATATGCATATGGTAAAAACTTAAAAAATCTTCTTTTAAAGAACCCAAAGAGCTAGAGCTAAGATATTTGGCATGAAACATCTTCTAGTGAGTGTCTACCAAGTTTGTTCAAATAAAAGCCCTGGGGTCAAAATTGGCCCCAGCCCGGGGGGTCATTGATTTTCCCTATATGCATATAGTAAAAACTTAAAAAATCTTCTTTTAAAGAACTGTAAAAGCTAGAGCTTAGATATTTGGCATGAAACATCTTCTAGTGAATGTCTACCAAGTTTGTTCAAATAAAAGCCCTGGGGTCAAAATTGGTCCCGCCCCAGGGGGTCATTGATTTTCCCTATATGCATATAGTAAAAACTTAAAAAATCTTCTTTTAAAGAACCCAAAGAGCTAGAGCTAAGATATTTAGCATGAAACATCTTCTAATGAGTGTCTACCAAGTTTGTTCAAATAAAAGCCCTGGGGTCAAAATTGGCCCCGTCCCAGGGGGTCATTGATTTTACCTATATGCATATAGTAAAAACTTAAAAAATCTTCTTTTAAAGAACTCAAAGAGCTAGAGCTAAGATATTTAGCATGAAACATGTTCTAATGGGTGTCTACCAAGTTTTGTTCAAATAAAAGCCCTGGGGTCAAAACTGGCCCTGCCCCGGGGGTCATTGATTTTCCTTATATGTGTATAGCAAAAACTTAAAAATCTTCTTTGAAAAAACCCAAATAGCTTGAGTTTAGATATTATACATGAAACATCTTTAAGTAAATATCTACAAAGTTTGTTCAAATAAAAGCCATGGGGTCAAAACTGGCCCTGCCCCAGGGGTGTCATTGTTTTTAACTATATGTGTATAGTAAAAACTTAAAAATCTTCTTTTAAAAAACCCAATGAGCTAGAACTTAGATGTTTAGCATGAAACATCTTCTTATGGGTGTCTACCAAGTCTGTTCAAATAAAAGCCCTTGGGTAAAAATTGGCCCGTGGGGGGGGGTGGATGGGGGGCTATATACAGGTGAGCGACCTCAGGGCCATCATGGCCCTCTTGTTCACAAACAACTTTTGTCAATTTGCTATTAAATGTTGACAATGATATTTTTCTTGCATTTAAAAATGAATAAATTCATTTTCAAGATAACATTTTATAGATATTTGAAATTACTTCTGAAAAAAGAATTTATATTGTTATGTTGCACATAATTATATGTAACTAATACAAATGTATACATATTATTGTATATCATGTCAAATTCTCTAATGTAATCTAAATATTTCAGATAAGTGGACGGAAGCAGGTGATTATGTTTGAGCCCCATGACAACACAGCATTATATGAGGCACATATCCCCGAGGCAAAGCTTACATACAATTCAACCAACAATACATTCCACAAAAAACGATTGGTAGACACATCAGCAATGGTCATGTCTCCAGTAGATATAATTAATCCAGATCTTGAGGTATCAAAGTTTATTTATATTTTGTATTTTTGTATTTTAGCTCAGATGCAGATCCAGGCTATTTTACCAGAGGGGGTCACAAAATTTGACAAGGGTTAATGCATATTCCAGAGGAGGTTGTGTCATGTTACTAGTTTTCAGTGGTGTTAGTGGGGTTAAAGGGGTGTCATAAGTCTAAATTTTTGTCTGATTTTCACTTAAATAAAAAAAAAAAATTCAGTTAATATCAAAAGACATTCTTGATGATATATTTTATGCATAAGCCAAATCTAAGGGAGTGTGGGGGGGGGGGGGGTCATGATGCCCTAAACTCCCTTGTGATCCATGTATGATGTTGTCATGTAAATGCATGTAAATGATGCTTTTGTGTAATTGAAAGGAACTGAAAGTCTGAAAGTGCAGTAAATATATTCACTTTCTTACAAAAATACTGATGAAGTTTTGATAATTTTATACCCATAATAAGGGGAATATGATAGTCAGGATTTTTTTCTTCTGTAAATCTTAAAAGATTTAGATCTTATTATATGATTGTTTTTCAGAGATTTCCATTGTTTGGAAAAGTTCATCCATTGAACTGTACAATAGATGAAGGTGATGTTTTATTCATGCCAGCATTCTGGTGGCATGAGGTACAGTCATATCCAAACTTAAAACAAGGACGAAACTTGGCTGTTAACTTCTGGTAAAAACATTCATCCTCTTAATTCTAGCAAAACTTTATATTTTTCAAATTTTAGACCATTCTGTATGGACTTTCAAAACCTTAAACTGGCTGTCAGTACAGAAGGAATTATCTTGCTCAAGGGTAACTCTTTACAGCAGTAACAAGGCTTTGCTGAGCTTTCGCAAAACTATTTGAAGGAAAGGGAGAACTATTGTTCTCTCCCAGGTGTCAGCCTCACACTTTTAGTTTTTGCGTGCAAGTTGGTATCACCAAAACTAGTTGAAACTTCACACACTTGTTCTCTCTGATTATCTAACATGATGGGGCACAGATCCCATAATTCTGAGGTACCTTTTATCAGAGTTGTGCCCCTTTCCATACTGTGAATAGTCAAGCTTGCTGTCTGTTGCCTCTAAAATGTTATATCAAAGTAAATGTTATATATTGAATTAAAGAACTGCAAATGTTGTTAATCCACTGTAAGAAGGGTAACTGTATAACATAAGATTATATATATATAATTTTATTTCAGGTATGAACCATTTCTTCAGAAGGAATTTCCATGCCAAGACTGCAAGCTAGATATCCATCCAAAATATAGACATCTTCTATAGTGATCTATAGAAACAAGTTCACATCAGATTTTGTAAATATCATCCCAAATATCATCCACAAAGCCATGTTCACATACAGATGATTATTATCCAGAATATTGCATTAATATCTATAAATGTTCATGATTTGTTCATAATCTTTTTTAAAAACTTTTTTGAAATGATTTAATATTTATTTTGGTAAAGTGAAAATATAAATATGTTCGTCTTTCTAGTAAATACTTAAAACAAAATCAATCTTTTCTTAACTTAAAGGAAATATCTAACAAACATTATTTCAAATTTTTACAACTTCAAGAAGAAATTTTGATATTTTTAAAAGAAATGTCTTTACCAGTATAAAGTTAGAAACATTACTGTTGCAACAATCAAAGATAAAACATGCTTCATGCTATTTTTGTACACAGAGGATATTGAATAAGTGTAGATTTTATACTAATTTATTGAACATCAAAGTGTTATTACACTAGTGTAATATTGTATATATTGAATAGGTTTATTACACATCTTTTCCATGGTTTATGTGATAATATGATTTATTTTCCTGTTTCTTGTATTGATATCTAAATATCTATAACACTTTTATAATTTTTCATCTGCATAGATCAAACTTTGTGCGGCAAAATGTTTTCTTTACATCTTAAGTTATATACACCTTCGATCATTTTTTAATGCCAATCAAATATGAAAAATAAATGTTGTATTGTTGTGTATGACACACAATGAGGGCAGGACATTTCCACTTGAACTTTATATTCCAATATTGGAGTGGCACAAGCTGCTGTATCAGAACTATTGTATTTGAATTGCACCTGTAGATCAAAAATAAGTAAATGTTATAGTACTTTCTAACTTATTGTTGTTTTATGTCAAATGTCAAAGCAATTAAGGTTGGGTTTTTTTGTGGCTTTTTTTACAGTCAAAATGTCTTTTCTTTGGGAAATGGGAGTTTATTACTGTGGTCAGAAGTATAATAATATAATATATTAATCAAAATATTACAGCGCAAAATGTTGGATGTTTCAATTCTTTCTGCTAGTTTTTATATTACTGTATATTCTTTTAAGCAATTGTAATTATTCCACCACAAGATTGATTTTATAAGATTCACGTTTGTATTTCTTTACATGTGTTTTTTTTCCAGAAATGTTATGATATAAGAACAATGGTGATTATGATGACTTTGTTTTATTATCACATGTTGTGTAATTTATAAATGTAGTAGTATTTTCTATGATCTCTATTTGTATAAGTCAAACTTGGATGTTTGAAGTGTTTGTGTTCAGTAAGTATTATATATTTGCATTCATTGAAAAGTAGGAATTATTTTAATAGATTTCCATCAATGGCATAGTTTTACATATATTTGACTTATTTATGTTCAAAGTATTCAATGAGATTTCTATACACTGTAAATCCACTGTTATTCTTACTGTATTTTGTTTTGCTCATTTGATTTTAACCCTAAACTTGCTGGATCCAAAAGAGGGCCTTGTAGTTTGATCAATCTCTTTACTGTTGGTAAATCAATTTTTACATTTTGATACTGAATTACTTTTGAATAAACTATTCCAAATTCCGTTGAACTTTGAATGGACTATTCCAAATTCTCTTGAACTGTGAATGGACTATTCCAAATTCTGTTGAACTTTGAATGGACTATTTCAAATTCCGTTGAACTTTGAATGGACTATTCCAAATTCTGTTGAACTTTGAATAGACTATTCCAAATTCTGTTGAACTTTGAATGGACTATTCCAAATTCCCTTGAACTTTGAATGGACTATTCCAAATTCTCTTGAACTGTGAATGGACTATTCCAAATTCCCTTAAGCTTTGAATAAACTATTCCAAATTCCATTGAACTTTGAATGGACTGTTCCAAATTCAAAGTGGGTCAAATACATTATAAAAATTAAGAAGGTCAAAGGTTTATTCTTTCCTTTTCATAATTGAACTATATAAATATTTGTTACTCTGATGGAGCAATGTGCCGATTGATGGACCAATTCCTGAATATTTAAGTTATATTATAAATAGTGTAATACTTATAACATTTGTTGAGTGTATATCATCATCTGTTGGCTCCCTGTCAAGATGTGAAAACTGACCAAAGAATACATTTAACTTGACCCAATGATCTTCTTCTGCATTGTAGAAATTATGACCTTGTCTTGAAATGTATCAGGTGAGCAGTATACAGTTATCATGGCCCTCTAGTATTGAATTATTTATTTTGCTAGGCTTTCATTTTGAAAGATTGGGATCACCACTGACTTAGTTACATGTACAGTTGAGTTCACACTAAAGGTTACACAAAGTGCACTAGAAGTGCACTAGATGTGCACTACTAGTGCACTTCAAAGTGCACTACTAGTGCACTTTGTAATGCACCAGACCTATTATATGTATTAAGCAGTTACCTTTTATTTCAATGAATAGCAATTTGACTTTTACAAAAAGATAGATAAATATAGATATCTGTATAATAGTTTTTCATAATAAATTTGAAGTTGTGAATATTGGATTTTGTAAAATATGGTGTAAAATATTAGAACAATAATTTTTCAAAGTCATTAATTTTACTGATTTTAAAACTTAATTGTTAGAATAAGTAAATATAAATAATTATAACTTTAATGTTGATAAGTGCATAAATAAACAAAATTAATTGATATTTAATACAATGTATAATTCTATTTCATTACAATCTGGTAATGAAACATTGAAATGCCAATTAAACAATATTCAGTTTGTTTCTTTTTTTTTTTGGGGGGGGGGGGGGGGGGGCAAATTATACCAATTAGTTATTTTTGATCTTAACTTATGGTTGTTTTAGTTAAAGGTTACAAAATGATTTTAAGCATTAATAGCCTTTAATACATTAAATATTTAATATTTTTATAATTGGCCAAAATTTTGTCAGTTTTATCTCATTTATAATCTCTCTTACCTTCTGATAATATAAATGATAAATATTATTCTAAAAATAAATATTTATATATAATGGTGGTATCTTAAGTATTGATATGTGTGGATTAAGTTTTGATATGTACCTGTGGGACACTAGTATACTTTAACTGACATGGATATTAACAAAAAGATTAGAAAATCTTTCAATTCCATTTTTTGAGACAACACCAATCTTTTTTAGCTCACCTGTCACAAAGTGACAGGGTGAGCTTTTGTGATTGCTTTTCGTCCGGCGTCCGTCCGTCCGTCCGTCGTCCGTCCGTTAACTTTTGCTTTAAATGACATCTCCTCATAAACCACTGAGCCAATTTCATCCAAACTTCACAGGAATGTTCCTTTGGTGGTCACCTTTAAAAATTGTTCAAAGAATTTAATTCCATGCAGAACTCTGGTTGCCATGGCAACCGAAAGAAAAATCTTTAAATATCTTCTTTTAAACAACCCCAAGAGCTAGAAGTTAGATATTTGGCATGAAACATCTTCTAGTGAGTGTCTACCAAGTTTGTTCAAATAAAAGCCCTGGGGTCAAAATTGGCCCCGCCCAAGGGGGTCATTGATTTTCCCTGTATGCATATAGTAAAAACTTAAAAAATCTTCTTTTAAAGAACCCAAAGAGCTAGAGCTAAGACATTTAGCATGAAACATGTTCTAATGGGTGTCTACCAAGTATGTTCAAATAAAAGCCCTGGGGTCAAAATTGGCCCCGCCCCGGGGAGTCATTGATTTTCCCTATATGCATATAGTAAAAACATAAAAATCTTCTTTTAAAGAACCGTAAGAGCTAGAGTTTAGATATTAAGCATGAAACATCTTTAAGTAAATATCTACAAAGTTTGTTCAAATAAAAGCCCGGGGGTCAAAACTGGCCCTGCCCCAGGGGTGTCATTGTTTTTAACTATATGTGTATAGTAAAAACTTTAAAAATCTTCTTTTAAAAAACCCAATGAGCTAGAAATTAGATGTTTAGCATGAAACATCTTCTTATGGGTGTCTTCCAAGTCTGTTCAAATAAACAAATAAAAGCCCTTGGGTAAAAATTGGCCCGGGGGTGGGGGGGGGCTATATACAGGTGAGCGACCTCAGGGCCATCATGGCCCTCTTGTTTCTTTTTTTCATGCATTGTAACATAATTATGCAATATGGTTATTTTTATAAGTTTATTATAAAATGCAAAAATATTTCAGTTTTCTTTTTTGTACTACTTGTAATGAAATTTATTTGCACCAACATCAGATACTACAGAATTTACATTGCCTACTTATATTTATCATCTGCCTTTTGTTATTTACCCTGAGGGACTCTCTTATCAGCAGGGTACTATATTAAACACCAATACACAGCATGACTTTTGACACTTCAGTCTCTTCTGTAACCGTTTTCTGCTCATGTATGGTATTTTATTTTTTAAAAAATCTGCATTAAAGTGAAAAGGAAGTTGCAAAAGCTTTATAATCATGTATTTAAATATTTTCTTTAAAATATATTATCTTCTAAAAGTGTTAAAACTGACAAGGTAAATTCGTCAAATCTATTATAGAAAAAAATAACATTTCCCAGTTCAGAAACTAAAAGATGATTTTAATGCAGAATTGCAAGAAATGTGGATAAATATTGATATAAGGACTTTCCAGAAAAGTTAACACTGATATTGATTTTAAACCAGTTTTTTATGATAAGATTAGAAAATTCCACTTTAAAGACAATAATGACAATAATATCTAACACACATTTATGCCATTTTTATTATTATTTTACATTTGATTATAAAAAAATTATAGTCATTTATCTTAGATGTCTTACATGTATTTTGGGGAAAAAACAGGAAATTTTATATAAATATTGCATACATCTGCATTTGTGTTATTTACCCTGAGGCCCTCTTATCAGCAGGAGACCAGTATAATGAAAACAGGCACTCTCAGAAAAATACCAATACACAGCAGGACTTGAGACTGTCCTCTTGTATAAAAGCATTCCCTTTATTTACATTAAATTTTCAATATAGAAATCTTAAATAAAGTTATCAATTTTATTTATTTCATGCACAGATATATAAACTTATATTTAGCTCCATGATTTCATGGAAAAATTTTAATTATTTATATCTTTAAAAAGTATGCAAGCATTTCATGGTTGAAAAACATAATATCACAGTGTACTCGGGTTGGAGAGATAACTCCGACGCATAGATAACCCCGACACTTGGTTTAATTTTTTTATTTATCTGTTTTTCTCAACAAACAAACACATGGTCACCTAGTTATAAAGGAGAAGGCCAGACTGTGATGAGATTTTTAAATTTGGTAAACTTTTAAAAGTGTTTATGTTGATCACAATTTTTGTTACAAAAACGGCCAGAAACCGTTCTATTTACTTAACTGCCAGACGGTAGTTAGAATTGTCTGAAACACAGGCTACTGACATGGGAACATTTCTTTAAAAAAAATGTTAAATTATCAATAAGGCATAGATAACGCATATAAAATGTAAAAATAAATGATTGATTCTAATTTTCAAGCTAGTTTTTACTTTTAAATTAAAGTGTCGACTTTATCTACTGTCCAGAGCTAAAAAGGCCATGTTTTGGATACCATATTCAGGACTCTAAGGAAGAAGCAGTTTCCATGTCAATAAAGGAAATTTGCATATGATCATAAATGTTTGAACCGAACTTTGTGTAGGTGGGTGAAAATTTTAGATATACACAAAAATAACAACGATATTTAAAAAAAATAGTGATTGTATGGATTGTTTTAAAATCAATGAATTAATATTCTCTTTCAATCTTGAACTTGAGGAATTGCCTCTTAAGTTATATATTATTATGCAGAGTGGCAAGAAATGTGGATAAATATAGAAAATTCCGCTTTAAGAGACAATAATATCTAATATGCATTTATGCCATTATGATTTTTTTGTATATTTGATTATACAAAAATTATGGTCATTTATATCATGTATAATATTGTATGATGTTTGTGTTATGTCTTTTAATTTCCTTTTCTGTTTCTTCTATTTCTCTATGTTGTTTTGATATTGTTGATTACAGTGTTTTATTGGGGAAGTGAAATAAAATGGTTTGTAAACAGTATTGAGTTAACAACGTTGAGTTACTTTTTGTTCCTCCAAGAAATTTAGGATGTTGCAAATATAGAATGGACAACATATAAATGCCTTGGAAAGAATCTTGGACAAGATATATGACATAAAGAATCTTTCAAATGGTAGTAATGAAAGTAAAGTTGCATATTTATACCTAAGTTCCTTCAAAAATATCAATAATTATTCCAGTGATTGCCAGTAACATCTGGCTGTCATTTGTTTACCTGTCTAAAATACGGAAAAGAGGTACACACAGAAACATATCAGCCTTGTTAAAGACAACGTTTTGTTTATTTGAAATAATTCATAATTTAAGTTTAACCCAGGACAGAATAACGTTCCAGATTTAACCCATACACAAAATATTTTTAATGTTCTATATGCCGCTATATACTACCGGGTATAATAAGACAAGTACTTGAGTCTAGAACATTAAAAATAGTTTGTTAAGAGCAATATATTATTACTATATTGACACAGTTACTTCCCTTTATGTCAGAATTTCCATTTGTAGAAAGTAGATATGCACGAAAGGTTGGCTCAATTTTCTTGTATTTAGTGTTTTAGCCCCATTTATTTTCTATTCAGCACACATTTTTGAAGGTTTGAAGGAATTAATTTGAAATTCTTATATCAAGACAAGCGCAGGCAAGAAAAGTTAAATTATCGTGGACAAACCAGTTCTTAAACCGCTAACAGTCTAAGCACCCAATATGTCTTTAAGCTGTTTAATATGAATAAAATATATCTGTATAAAAGTTCTTTACTTATGTACACTTTAATCTTTATGTAAAATATCTGCAAAATTTGTCTGAAATTCAACAATTACAACAGCTCTTCTTTCCATCTTGGAAAAGCACAACCCTCTTTTGTAAAATACTGTTTAGTTTAGTCATTGAAGTGATTGTCATATGAATATCACATGGCATTGAAGTACCTTACAGACGTAACAGGATGCCGGTACCTGTTTTTAAGATTTTTTTTCTTAAATACTCATTTACACAATTAGTGTAAATGTTGTATTTCGACAGGACTTACATACATGTAGGAAATTAATAGCAATTTGTAATTAATAGGAATTTGTATGAAGTTAACCTAAGTAAATATCTGATGTAAATATCCATTCCTATGCATTGTTTTCATTTGACAGAAGCAGACATGTCTGTCAGATACTAAGCTTTTTCTGCCATGAATGCTAAATGTAAAAGCTTACAAAATTCACAGAATAAAGGCCTATGATCATTAGAATTAACTGGTACAAATGGACTCACGTATTTATTGAATAACCTACAATAATTGGGCTGCATAAAACTAACAAATAGTTATCCAGCAGATCTACACTAGTAAGTATTTACAAAATGAAAGTAGGTTACCGTATAATAAAAGGCAATTTTTTTTTTAAAGATGATAATGTTCTGCACATAAGTTATTCCAGTCACAATCAACACTGTTACAGACAAAATAGCCAAAAAATGAAAAGCCTTTTTAACTCAAAATGGGCTAAGAACCACACTTTATGTATATTGATCTTTAAAGCAGCACAAATCATGCTCATTTTCATGAAAAAAATGAAAATTAATTTTAAAGTAAAAAATTGTGAAGTAACCAAAAGGAAGCAATTTGCACATTATCAATGGCACTGGCACAACCTATGTTAATTACTAAAAAGAGGTCAAAATATGCAAAAATACCACTTACTGCATTAGTAACGCAGTAGAAAAATATAGATATAAATACTGAAACAGTCATTAAACACACATAATATGTTGATAATTTCTTGAAGCTTTAATATTTTACTTTTTCTAAAATCTTAGAACATTTTTCTCATGTTTGATTTTTTTGAACTATTTTAGCTCATCTGGAGGCATGCAGCTTTAGATTAAATTCTTAATTCCCCAGTTGTTTTATGTAAGATTTTCAAATTTTATGCTTATAGGCTTCAGGACGTCATTGGAGTTCCATTAAACTATGATATATAATGGTTCAGGAAGGTGATTGCAAGATAACCTCCAGACTTCCAATAGAATGGCAAGGTCTTATGAAACAACTTTTGATGTCATTGGAAAGGGGAAATATTTGGTTTATTGAGGAGACATCATCCAAGTATGGTAGTCAACCTGTGTGGTATAAACTGTTGCAAGCCTTGATCAAATGTGAACCTTGTATTGTTGAAGACAAGCTTGTATTGTAAGTATGATATGAAATATTATTGAATCTGAAATTTGTAATAGTGCTGTACCAAAATTGTGTATTTTGTTAAATTTGGTCCTAATTATATATCCATTTCTAAATGTTCTCTTTTTTCCTTTCCACAACACAATTTCCCCACTCTCCATGGGCCCTTTATCATTCCCCACAAAGTGAAAAAAGCACTGCTTTCTAGGTATGTACTTAAGGTGATGTTTTCAGACTATGCTACGGGGTACTGCTGTTATTCAGGAAACAAATTAATTAAGCACTTGACTTACTTATGATGTTCCTAGTATCTTTGTTGTTAAAAAATATTGAAAAGATAAAGAGCAGAGTACTATTTATTGTAGAAGCTACTCACAGTATCAGGTAAAAATTATGAGATTATTTGAGGCGCTTGCATTTTTGAGTGGTTCAGGCTGCATCTTACCAATGTTGGTTCTAATATGGTTCTTGTTGGGCACATTGAAATCTTTGATGTGAGGAAGCTATCTTAAGGAAAGTAGATGGTGCTGTTTGATGACATTCCTTCTCTGCCTGAAATATTTTAACAGCAACATCAGTTTATAAACATTATTTTTTTGTCTCCAGTCCCCTATTGCTGGTGATTGTAAACTAGATGGTGCCACTGCTATAAAGTTTCTAAATTTTAATTTACAGCAAACCAATATTTCTGTTGTTACCAGAGATGCTACAGGAAAGACTGTTGGAGTTTCTTCAGTACCAGTCATACCTTATTCCAGACCAAGATATTAAAGAGTTTATTATTGGTCTGATGAAACATACAGATGTTCATTCAAATTTATATCAACAACTTCGTTGTTTGTTCAGGAAAACAAAGGTAAACATACATTTCAAAATGTCACAGCACTTGTAAAATATACCCGGGGCAAATGATAAGATATGTATCACATACTCTATTTTGAATTTATGTTTAAATCTGGTGTCCATGTTGAATTTAATTACTAATACCCAAGACCCAGATACCATAGTAGAGTTCCTGATGATTCATTTGGTTGACTTTTGTCCAACTGTATGTTAAGAAATAAAATATCTCTAATTATGGTTAGTTCGAACATTTGCTATTCTCAGTTACCATTTCCGGGTGATTAATCTCCACCCATAATATATGTTGAAAAGATAGGAGTAATTTGTAGAGAACATATAATTTTAGTACAGAATGGCCCCAGTAAATGCATGTAATTCTGTTGTTGCAGTTTCTGTAGCCTTCATGGACTAAGGACGTCATTGATAATTATATGCTGTTAATTCTTCCCCTAATGGAACAGAAAGTGATAAGCTCTACCACCAGTATATAGCCAGGCCAGCTAGAACATCTGTGCCATCTGTCCAGGAACTATACTGTTGGCTGACTAACTATAACTTTCATCTTGATATCCTCAAAGTTGTTAATGGACAGTCCCAAAAATTGAAGCTGGACATGTCCATTTCAGAAATTTGGCTGTTTAAGAATAATAGAAATCTTTAACTCCAGTATACCTGTCTTGACAATTCTAATTCAGTCAATACAATAGCAAATTTCATGTACATTTAGCTAAATTTGTATCATACTTCTGTCACAATATATATTTTCTGCATTAGTTTAACTTAAAACTTGTTACATTTCAGTTAGAGGAGGATTTATTTACAGAAGTAGAAACTGTATTAAAACCTAGAGCTATTGACACATGTCCAGGTATAATGACCATTAAATATTCTTTGATATATGTACTATTTTCTTTGGTAAAAATGGATCAGTCCCTTTATCTATTATGTACTCAACTGTAATATTGTGCATAAAGCAGTTACAAAAGTCAGTGATAACATTCAGCTGTATCATAAATATTCTTACATGTACATATCTTTTGTAGCTATATTCCACAGTAAGATATTTTATGTAGATTTTTTTTCTGATTCTTATATTAGTTGCAACCACAGAAATGATAATTTACCTCCTCTCAAAATGCCTGTCATAGATTTTCTATTTATGTATTTATTGAAATGTAAGTCTAACAATATTGTTAAAATTATTCTTCTATCAGAAAAGGCTGAAAGTCCTACAGAAGAAATGATAGAGATTGGGTCCCAAGAAAGTGTGATAATTTTAGATGATGATGACGACGATGGGGAACCAGCACAAAAAAAAAGAAAAACAAAGAAGGATTGTTCCGAACTTCAAGAAAAAGATGACTGTCAAACTGTTTCTATGGAAACAAGTGATAAAATACATACTAGTACTAATGTTGTAGAAAATGATGATAAACACATTGACGAGTCATCATTGAAGGTTATTGATGGAAAGGAAGCTTTGGTATACAAGATCAAAGAAATCTGGCAAAACTGTATCCATGATCAAGCAAACGAAGGGTTGAGTGAAATATCAAAATTGTCACTAAAAGAAATTGAAGTGTTTTGTAAAATGATTGACTTTGATAGCATGTCTGATGATTCCATAGAATTAGTTTGTCAACATTTATCGGGGGTTAGTGACTCTTTAAGCTATAGCAGTGCCGTCTGCATCTTGACCTTTGTTCTAGGTCATAGGATTTTGCAGCTATCCCAGAATGCCTCTAGAAAGTTACTTGGGGCTATCACTGTAGTGTCACAAAATTTCCCAAAACAGACAGTTGAAAGTGTATTAGTGCCGTGCATGATGCAGGATGAAGTCCCATCATTCCAAATTGAGATTTTGTGTAAAACGTTAAAGGACTGCTTAAGTGCAACAACAAGAGGCTATTTTATTCAAAAAGTATTACAGAATAATTTCATTCTTACTGAGCACAAAATAACAATTCTTCAGACAGTTGTTGATAGTGGATGTGATTTATCGTACAATGTGTTTTCAAGTTTATTACAATGTTTAAATGAGGCATCCGTTTCGATGGCTAAGAATTTGAAGTTTGGAAAGCTTTTGTTTGCCCTAGTGAATAAACATAGTAAACTCTTCGACCAGGAATTAAAAATTAAGGCTGAACAAATTATTGATAAACATAACACTTTTTTAAAGAAAAGTATTCAGTCTTCATTGAATAAACTTAAATTTGTGTAAAGTTTATAGAATAATGATTCAAAGTATAACTTTTAGCATTCTCAATAGCTATAATACTGTAAAGTAATCTTACTACTTTGAAATAAATATAGTCACTTAATGTCAGCCGTTTAGTTTCCTTTTGAATAACTTGCAGAGGGTCTGAGTGGTTACAGAGGGGTCTGAGTGGTTACAGAGGTGTCTGAGTGGTTACAGAGGGTTCTGAGTGGTTACAGAGGGGTCTGAGTGGTAACAGAGGGGTCTGAGTGGATACAGAGGGGTCTGAGTGGTAACAGAGGGGTCTGAGTGGTTACAGAGGGGTCTGAGTGGTTACAGAGGTGTCTGAGTGGTAACAGAGGGGTCTGAGTGGTTACAGAGGGGTCTGAGTGGTTACAGAGGGGTCTGAGTGGTTACAGAGGTGTCTGAGTGGTAACAGAGGTGTCTGAGTGGTAACAGAGGTGTCTGAGTGGTAACAGAGGTGTCTGAGTGGTAACAGAGGGGTCTGTGTGGTAACAGAGGTGTCTGTGTGGTTACAGAGGGGTCTGAGTGGTTACAGAGGGGTCTGAGTGGTTACAGCGGTGTCTGAGTGGTAACAGAGGGGTCTGAGTGGTTACAGAGGGGTCTGAGTGGTTACAGAGGGGTTTGAGTGGTAACAGGTGTCTGAGTGGTAACAGAGGTGTCTGAGTGGTAACAGAGGTGTCTGAGTGGTAACAGAGGGGTCTGTGTGGTTACAGAGGTGTCTGAGTGGTAACAGAGGGGTCTGAGTGGTTACAGAGGTGTCTAAGTGGTAACAGAGGGGTCTGTGTGGTAACAGAGGGATCCGAGTGGTTACAGAGGGGTCTGAGTGGATACAGAGGGGTCTGAGTGGTAACAGAGGTGTCTGAGTGGTTCAAGTCACTGATTTTGAATCATCTGCCCCCTCACTTCATGGTTTGTCTCTTGAATAGGGCTTTTGATTTCTTCATGTGAAAAATCTATCCATTTAATGTATAAAGTATTTCTGCTAATAAATGTAAACATTATAGTACAGTCAACTTAACCTTTTCTGACCAAAGTTACATTATTAAATTAATAATGTAATCCAAATAATCAAAGGCTTAAAAGCAGTTGATGCTAGTACATCATTCACAATTCAAATAACTTTTGTAAAACACTCAGTGGTTTCAGTGGTGGAGTGGTCACAGTTCCGGATTTCTATCATTTCTCACCAATTTGGATTCCAATCTCGTCGACGACTTTCAATTATTCTACGTGAAGAAGGTCAGTGATTCTGCTCAGATGCTCGTTCATGCCTGAAATACATCAAGTGGCACCCAAAGTCTCCCCCCACCAGTCAAGCTGAAAGGTCAACTTATGACCTTAACAGTGTTGATGTGACCTTAAAACCCAACAACCAGTCAACCTTTCATAGATTTTCTTACAGTGGTAGTTATTAGCACAAAGGTCAATTTAATAAAGGGGGAAAAGCTCAACACTCTAATATAAACTTGGTGACCTTTACCTTTGATACTGTGACCTCTTAAGTGGGACTGGCATGCAATTGTTGTCAGATTAAAATTTGTGACAGACAGATCAAAACATATATGCCCTCCAGATTTATTGATCAAGGGGCATAAAACAACAACAACAACAAGATATTCACTGTTCAACAGTATTTTATTAAGCTTATATTCTAACAAAATAAATTAACAAAATTAAATGCTCTAAGATAATTATGCAAAAATATGACAATTTTTGTAATCTATGTGTAAAAGTGTGACTTCTTAAGGTTTTGCAAAAGGAAAGTTAGAGAGTAGAACTAAATATTCAGAGAGAAACTGAATGACACATTCACATTTCTGGATGTGCAGAATGAGTTGTAGATATTTGTACATAACTCTATTAACATATGTGGAAACAGGATACCATGATGGCCCTAAATCATTGAAATAAGCTCATTACTGACCCAGTGTCAATTTAAATAATTATTAAGAAAACCATAGATAAATGATTTTAAAAACTAAGAAAAAAGCAATACATACAATAGACATAATGATATTTAACAAAACATATATGAAATCAATATACTGCAATATGTTGGTTTTTAAAACAAGTATTGTTATACACTTTGTCTAGTGTAAAACGATGACTGTAAAATGGAAGACTAACATTCTAAAGAAAAAATCTAAATATATGTTTACTCTTCTATATGACATACATGTATTTCTTTCCAACAATTTACAAGTGATAGAAATTATAAAATGTACTTTACAAAATATGAAAAAATTGAAATCTGCAAAGATCTCTGTTTTATAAATATAAATTTATAACTATGTAGATAAATATATATCAGGATTGAAATACTTTTTGTATAAAATTAGAACAATAGGTTAAAAAACTAAAGCCAATACTACTATACAACACAACCAACTGTAAAATAAGAATACAACACAAAAAATACATGAACTATAAATACTATAAATAAATTTGTATTACTGAGATCCTCGAAATGCCAAAACAATAAAAGTAAAATTGCAAAAAGCAAACAGATCTGGTGTATAATAAGGCCAACCTTTAACCAAGAACATGCATAGATACTGCCATAGAAACTGCAGTTCAACTTTTTTCTGTCTTAGTAACATGTTGCAGGTAACACTAATGTCCCTTACCACTATACTACATACTGTATTACACAGTTACACCATTGTATGATTTAAATATACTACAAATGTAAATGACATAAATGTATAGTCGAAACATTATCATGTATTCACATGTACGCTACGTTTTAACTTGAATTTTATTCAATTTTCACAGTGATCAGATTTCCCCTATCAGCTAGATAGACCGACAGACTGATGGAGATTAATGTAAGGTCAGACAAGCTATCTAGAAATAAAAATCTGGATACACCATCCAGTTATAATCAAAATCAAGTAGGTAACTTCTATCTTCTATTAATTATATGAAACATTTTAAATTGTATAAATAATTGTAACAAAAATATAAACATTATTGTTTAGTTTCTTATGGGAAGTATCATCTACGTAGTAATAAAACTATATTGCTTACATAAAACTATTAAAAAAGGGTAAGAAGGCAAAATGTTCCCAAGATCAGGCATTTTTTACCACAGGTTTTATAAAAAAAAAATGAAGATAACGACAAACAACCAACATCACAAATCTCACCATTTAGGACAATGTATTCAGATCTGGTAAATAAACCCCAAAACCAAGAAAGAAATTATATTATCCAAAACAAGAGCTGTCAGTAGGACAGCAACGCTTGACTATTCTTAGTGCTTGATAGTAAAAGAGCCTTGATAATGTAAAATGTTCTAAGTTAACAAAAGGGCAATTTTTTTCTATAAATCCATGTTACAGTTATAGGCCTTTGAGGGAGTCCTATTATGCTCTCAAAGAAGAGTATAAAATTTCAACTTCTTTCAAAGCCAGATGTCAATAGAATATGAAAATATCTGAGGTGGTATGCAAACTTAAATGTAAACTCTAAGATGAAAAAGGGGCATTATCCTGCCAAATGCTTCATAGAGTAACCTCCTCCTGTCTACAGGTTGGGGTCATGATGGTGAACAAGTGTGCAAAAGTTTCAAAGCCATATGTCAATGGACTTTGAAAATATTTTGAGGTGTTACAAAAACTTTTAACGTAAATTCTTACTCAAAAAAGGGGCATAATTCTGTCAAAGTGCTTGATAAGAGTTACCTCCTTTTGTCTACAGATTGGGATCATGATGTTGAACAAGTGTGCAAAGTTTCAAAGCCAAATGTCAATGGACTTTGGAAATAATTTTTTAACGTAAATTCTAAGTCGAAAAAGGGGCATAATTCTGTCAAAATGCTTGATAGAGTTACCCCCTCCTGTCTACATGTTGGGGTCATGATGGTGAACAAATGTGCAAAGTTTCAAAGCCATATGTCAATGGACTTTGAAAATATTTGAGGCATTACAAAAACTTTAATGTAAATTCTTAGTCAAAAAAGGGGCATAATTCTGTCAAAATGCTTGATACAGTTACCTCCTCCTGTCTACAGGTTGGGGTCATGATGTTAAACAAGTGTGCAAAGTTTCAAAGCCATATGTCAATGGACTTGAAAATATTTGAGGTATTACAAAAACTTTAACATAAGTGGTTACGCCAATGCAGACGCTCGGGTGACTATAATAGCTCTACTTATTCTTATCGAATAGTCGAGCTTATTATGCTTAAAATGATAATTGTATTAAGTATTAAAACTATTAACCATGGTTTATCTGTAAAAACAAAACTGACTTGTCTTATTATACCATTTACTGACACACTCATTGTTTTAATAACTTACTAATAGAATCAAAGTGACCAATCTGAGAATGTTACTCAAACCAAATAATCTAAACAATATGAAAACTGAACACATAGGTAGGTAGTTTATAGTTATCACAATCACGAAATACATGTATACAATAAAACAAGGACAAAATTATTCACATCAAAAATCTATAGAATAATGCCATAAATAACATTTCAGTACTGACCTTTAAACACAACCTTAGTAACCCTAAATATCGAGATATAAAATTGCAGACTCTGTGCTGGTCAGTTGTGTGCCCAACTTTATTCTCTTAAGAGTTACAATTGTATGGCACTTGTATGTCTTATATTACTAAAGTTTTATGACAATGATACATTGTACATTTTGATTATTTTCATCTACATACCAGCATGCCAGAGCCTTGAAAATACATGGCGCCAAAATACATTTATTCAAACAAACATTGACTAAATTCTGAGATAATGAAAAGTGCCAATTTATTAATGTTTTTCTGAGTCTTTTGGTTTTTAATTTTTCTTTCTAACAAGAGTTAAACTCCCTTCTTATCACCACTGTTAATGACTTATATGATTCTGCCTTTAAAATTATCAATCAACTGATAAATATTTCAAGGCTTTAATCCCATATTTTTGTGAGAGATCTCGCTGGAATTCAGCTTTCAATGTCTTTAAGCACCTGAAATAAAAAACATCATTTTTAATCTTTG